AAAAACCTTTTCTTAAGTATTGTAGTAAAAATTAACTTTCATACATTCAATGATCTTTCATACAAAATTCTGGAGGTGAATAGTGATCATTTAGGATATTAGATTTTAGTGAAGTTTTATGAATTGACAAACTTTTGCATCTCTGTAATTTCTTTCTAATCTTTTGAAGAGTGACATGATTCCTAGCAATCTGATGAAAATGAAGTGGATAATGGATTTTCATACTCAAATAAATTAATACTAGTTGAGACATTGCTATTACATTGCCCAAAATGAAGAGCTGTAGAAATATTACAACAGTAAAGTATTATACATGCAATAATAAAAACCGATTAAGTCTCAGGCATTTTTTATCATCTTCTCATGGTAAGTTTCACCAAACTTGTTCTAGTTTCTCGCTAATGGTGTTTAAGTAATCATGAGTAAAATGAAACTTGCAATATAATAGTATTTATAAGTGCATCTGTTTCACCACTGAATATATAAACTTTATTTAGTTAACTGACTTTTTATGCTAAAATTCTGAGGTTGGTACTGGCCGGTAACATTGTGGGCCTAAAATTTTTGTCATATACTCTTTGCTATTGTGAAAATACGGTTATCACAAGCACAAAATTGTATAATATTCTCAGCAAAGAGGTTAGAAATCACGAAGTCCTAATAGACATAATGTTAGAAACAATATATTTTAACCATCTTTCTCCTCTCAGCAGCTAACTTGCAGAAAAAAAATTGTAATGTAATAACAATTGAAGTACTGTTTGATTAATTATATCTGTAATGTATAAAAGAAAAAATTGTGTTTGATAATATAAACATTCTCTAAATATATTAATATTTAAATCAAAAGTAATAATTTCCTATTTTCATTTCCAACAGGTGAAATATTCTATTTATATCTCCCATGAACTTTCTATATCATGTTTATTGTAAAACAAATATTTCATTGGAAAAAAAACATTCACAACAACTGAAATTCAAGCTTCTTCTCAAGTCAACTTTTCTCCCAACAGAGAAATAATGTGTTTAAAAACAGTTCTTATGATCATTAATGAAATAACGGAAGCAACTTCTTCATGGGACTTGGTCAAGTTATTTGTTTCCTGATGTTTCTGAAAACGTATTTGAGGGATATAGTACATTCATAAAATCAAAAAGTCTTATGTTATTAAAAACATACATAAACACAATTTTACTTAAACATACTATACATTTCAAGAAACACAAAATTAACACTCAGAATTTAAAAAATAAATTGAGTGCCTAAATATATCTCCCACACAATATCATCTAATGGAGGTAAATACACATGTTGATTGGTAAGCAGATGAAGTCTTTGCCGCAGTGACGTCGCATCTCCTCACAATATTTACGATTAGCTCATCATAATTTGTTATGGAAAAACAAAGTTTATAAAAATTTAAATTAGAAAAGAAACAGATAAAGTTGATATTCGTTAAAATAAATAGCTGTCACCTTATGTTGCTGAAATACAATTTTTTAAACAATGTGTTATTATTTTCAAAATTGGTACAAACAGCTAATTAAGTAGTTCACAATGGAAATAGCAATAGTCACCAACTAAGTTCTTGTAAGAGGGGTATTTTCAGCCCACGAGATAGAAGCAGACAAGCCCTCATATCGTAAGTACAGAAGCATCCAATTGCACAAATAAATCTGAGTTAGCAAATTATATAAATAAGAATAGGAATACATAAGGAAGGGTAGTAAGCACTGTCGCAATATTTTGTTTCAAATAGTACATGCTAGGCCAATTTAATTTTCTTTTGATCACTGCTAATTGTAGACGTGGTATGGTGTTGTGAGGTACCATCATACCAGAGCCACAAATTTCTTCAGCATGCGTATTTAGCTCCATTATTTATTGTTGGGTGAAAGTTATGATCAGTTTACAATAGTTTTTCAACCTCCGTCATTTTTGTGTAATTGTTTAATGTATGTGTGTAAATAAAATTGACAATGCTATATTCCATTGATCAAGATGCATGAACCTGCTGCTCCTGTACAACTGCGTTTATATAACTTCAAACACCATGAGCCTACTTACTCAACAAAACGACCAGGACTCGCGATCATATCTGGACCCACGAATGTTAAAAAAAATCAGGTTTTGCTCAAGATCATTGTCATTCAGCACTTTGCATTTGACAGTCTTGAAACATTTTATTGTAGTAAAACACGAATGTGTCGAGACGAGGATGGATAGTTTGCAATTTCTTTTGCATCACCTTGGACAGGCAAAAGAGGTTATCTAAGCAAAATCAACCTGTCCTAAAACCACTTTGTTCTGTATTTATCTTCTTTTAATTCTCTTAATATTCTTCCATATACCTTACTGAACTTGTTTGTCACTGCTATCCCTCTATAATTTTCACATATGTCTTTCCTTCCTTTCTTATATATTGGTGTTATACAAGCCATTTTCCAATCTTCTGGTATATCACCTTTATTTATACACCCATTCATTAGCTTCGTCATCATTCGCACTAGCTTTGGTGTTCCATTCTTTATCAGTTCACTTGGGACTCTTTCTCCTGGATCAGCTTTACTGCTTTCATTTCTTTGACACATCTCTCAACCTTCTCTTTGATTTACTGCAATTTCCCTAACCGGAGATATCTTTTCCCTGTCTGTGGTTCCAAGAAAGTCTGATCTTCCTTCATTTAATAATTTCCTAAAGTGCTCATCCCATTTGCCTACAGATATACTTTTTACGCAGACTTTCCTCTATTTGAGGAGATTTTACCTCTTTTATGAACTTCCAAATCCCACTTGTGTTTGTTCCACATATGTACATTTCTACTTCTTAACATTTAAACTCCCATGATTGTTGTTGTTGTTTTTTTTTCTTATTTTCTTATAATGTTTCTATTTTGTTGGATTTTATATTCCTCTCTATTTTCTTCTTTCTAGGTAATCAACCATTTTTCATACAGTCTCTTCTTCTCCTCTATTTCTCGCTCCAGGTCTTGAGTAATTCAATAGCTCTTCCCTCTCCTTTTCTTATTTAAAGGAGCACTTCTTTAGCTTGATGTAGACAATCTTTGAGGTGTTCATACGTCTCATCATTTGATCCAACTATGTTTCCATTCAGTAAATTATCCAATCTGTTTTGAAATAAATATCTTATACTTGGTTGTCATAGACCCGCTATATTATATTTCCTAATTTTGCTATTTACATTTTTGTCTTCCTTTCGATCTCGGATCTCTGTTTCTTTTTGTTTTATGGGTGAAAACATAATTTTGGCCTCCACTAGGTATTGGTTGGAACTACATTTTGGGCCTTTGTGTGCCCTGACATCTATTACTTTACCTGTTAAATGCTGTCTAGTGAATACGTAATCAATCACTGATTTCCTTCCTCTTACCTTCTCTTCCTAGGTGAACATATGCTTATCTTTATGCTGAAAGTAGCCGTTTCTAATTATAAGTTCATGATGTTCACATAGTTGGATCAATCCTTTTCCATTTGAATTTTCCACCTCTTCTCCATGCTGTCCAATGACTTTTGAACTCTCAGATTTTCCCACTCTAGCATTAAAATCGCCTCTAACTCTAAAAAAAGTTCTCTATTTAGCCCACGGTCACTGATTACTCCATCTATTTTTAAGTAAAATTCCTCTAAAGTACTAGTATCCTCATTTTCATTCGGTGCATACACTCCAAGAATCATCATTTTGTATCTAAAACTTCCCAAATGTACTTTAATCAGCCTCTCATCTATGGCTTCTCAACTTTTAATATGGTTTCAGAATTTATTTTTTATGACCACGGAAATCCCTTTATCACTCCTTTGATCTTATGGTACTTCGCTCTAAATATGAACATAGGATCCAATCTCTTCTATACCCCAGTCCTTTTTCTTTGTCTCACTTAAACTTGCAATATCCATATTTAAATCTTAATTAAGTTCCTTAATTACATCCTGTATCTTATTTCCCAGACCTTGAGTATTCCATGTTCCAGTATTCATCATTAATTTCCTTTGCCTAGTTCTTTTCCAGTACCATCCGTTTTCTCATGATTTGGCCTTTTATCATTTCTTAGTTTTTACATGGACAACGAGGATCTGGCCCATCGTCCCAACCCCCTTCTAAGAGTATAAGGAATTTTTTTAAGGGTTAACTCCCCTAGGGGAATGGCTTCACCGAGCTTTTGAGCTACTCCTGCCGAGATCTCTTTTGGAATCTTCTTGTTCTATAGGCGAGATCATTCTAAAGAACCTGTAACAAGTATTGTTCAACAGCTTCTGGGTCAATGACCCCCATCACGATCAGGTTTTTGTGTTCCCCTTATCCTTCAGGTAAATGCTGAAATGCATCTGGACATAAAAGGTCCGGTTTTGCATCTGGACATAAAAGTCAAATTAACTTCTACCCATAGCATGTCACACACAGTTTTTAACATAAATAAAGACGACCCAGAAACCTTCCAGACCTGAAAACATTGCTTCCTAAAGTGTATCGACACAGGAAGAAGATATTTTGAAAATTGTTTTACTAATTGCACGAATATGTTCATTATTTTTTTTTTTATGATTTTGGTCGCATTATTTACGAAATGCACCTTGTATGCCAGAAGTGTAGCATTTAGGTAGACAATGTTGCTCTTTTTTTGTTTTATGCTTTGGGACTGGGATGTCCATACTGTTTACACTAAGAACAAAAAGAGGCAGCTGTTTTGTTTTCCAGAAACCACATGTAAGATTACATCTTTGTCATACATTTCCCTTTGTTTTCCAGATATGTCCTTCCCACATCTCAACTGGAGAAATTCCCGAATGGTTTTAATGTGTCATTATAACACTTGGTTTCTTTCACTTACACATTCTCTCAGGAGAAATGTGGTATACCACCTGCAGACTTCCCCTTTACCTTTAGCAGGGATTTGAGGTCATTGGTGTGGGAATTGCAGGGAATGTCATTGCTTTCAGAACTACTACATAAAATTAGACTGAAACTTCGAAAAATACATTACCATCCACGAGTTTGGTCAATGCCTTCTGCAATAAAATCAGCAGGAAAAGAAGCCTCAAATTCATTCTTTCGCTCAAAAGGATAATGATACTGAGCATAAGGCATTGATCCAGATTCAAACCAGCAATCGAATACCTCAGGCACCCTGCGGAGCGGGGGGCGTCCAGGACGGTGAGATGGGATTTCCAAATTGTCGATGCTGAAACAAGAAAGCCATACATCATTTTTAGAAAATTAAAATACAATGCTTTTAATAGCTCTCACGATTCAACATTCACAAAGAATAATTACCTTTCCCGATGTAAATCATTTACTTTCTTGCCGGTGAGCTCCTCCAACTCCTTAATACTGCCAACGCACACAATTTCCAGTCCATCATCTGATATCCACAACGGAATGGGCGTGCCCCAATATCGGTTACGGGAAATAGCCCAGTCTCTGGCTTCTTTCAACCAGTTGCCAAATCTCTTTTCTTTGATAAAGTCTGGTACCCTGCACGATAAAAATATATTCACAACCACATCGCTACGAGGGGAAACAACAAGCAATTTCTGAAACAATACAAAAATTAATATCATGAGCTATCGGTTTGAAAACCATCCACGGAACGCGAGCGCGGACCCTCGTGCCCTTTTTAGAGACCTGTGTCTGGGCATAGACCTGGGTATTCATGTGCTCGAAAAACCCAACGCGCGGATTTCCATTCTCTTTACAGCAAGAACGAAGTACGGAGCATATCTCGCCCAACTTGACATATTCTCATAAGCGGAAAGTTCCTCTACAAGTTCGGCTCGAGATGTAATCATCTCACAATTCGTGAGAGCAGGAGTTGAATTTGGAAAACATCCCCTAATTTGGTGATCATACGCGCCAACGCCTTTTTACGATCACTGACCGCCCTTGAGCAGCGGGATGGAAGGCCGACAGACATCCACCTTCATGCGGGGTTGAGTAAAACAGAATTGATGGATATACATGACTGACTTGCTTGGTCTGTTTCATGTATTTCGTAGGAATCACTATTTTTTTACCTTGCAGGAGCGACGTCTCCTTAAGGGAAGTTTACAGAAGACACCTGGCAAAAGAAGTGCGCTTCTGGGAGAGTAGCACGGAAGGCCTGGCAACTTGCAGTTTAATTGTCTTGACCACGGCACTGGAGAAGAACCTAGTGAGATCCACAGGCATCTTCGCCAGGTACCGGCGTTTTGCTTCCGGAAAATACATTTTCTCTGATACTCGGATCTTCTGTATCTCCCACGCCTTTAGAAAGGTAGAGCGCTTGTTCGTGAGGTCTCCTTCACAATTTACACAGCGAAAGCGTGTAGCACAAGGTTCGGGATCGTGCACTGACTTGCTGCACTGAGAGCGCTAAATGCACTCTATGAGATGACATAGACTATTGCTCTAATCTTTTGTTTTTCAAAGATTACAAAAATGTATTTTTTTACTCATATCTTGTGTCGTTAATATTTATATTCGCGACAATTCATTCACGTTATTGTATTTATGAGTACACGTGCTTTAAATAATGTCAAAATTTCTCTAAAACTCCGCATTTTCAGAAACACTCAAAAGCCTTTTCTCAAAATTATCTCCAAATTTTTTCTTCAAGCATTTCGGAGTGGTAATTGCACTCCTTAATAAGACAATGTTAATTTAGGGATTTTTTTTAAATTACCCAAATATACATTTTTTGAAACATTACCAATGGCCAAGAAAAACTTGATATACACATTTCCAGCAAATTGTGAACACTATTGTACTTGTGAGTTATTGTACTTAAAATGACTCCAAATGAAGTTTTTATAAAACTCAAAAATTTTCTGTGAAAAAGCCTGAAATTTTGAATTTACAATAGCACTTAAACGCTACTTTTTTCAATGGCTTCGAATTTTTCAGAGAAAATTGCCATTTAAGACGAGTTTTTCCGCGACAGATGGCAATTTCGAATAGCTAACCGAGACCGATAGAAAACATTCGGGAAAGTCTGTGCCATTCTGTAGTACCACTAGTTTATTTTGTGTGCCTTCGTTATTAGTTCAGGACAAACTTAACTTGTTACAATACATAAAAAATGTATAAAATGTTGTATTAGAATGTTAAAACTGTCTTCTCCACAAAATTCTGTAAGAAGAATGGAAATGAACTTACAGTACCGGTTACGATAGTCGGATACTGGTTGGTGTTATGAATTATTTTACGTACATTTTTTTATTTCTTTCATTTTTATTGTTTCATAAACGTTTATATATTAATTACCATTCAAAAAGGTTATTTTCGAACACACCTCCCCCCCCCCCCACTACCATACCATTATTGGAACTCTGTACGCACACCAACGTCTCCACGACTACCTTTGCTCCCAGCCTCGGTTCCGAACAGGAGAGCAGATTTTGGTGTCAGAGTATTGACCTGGCAAGCCCTAGATAAAGGTGTATATATAACAGAGTCGAACTAAAAAAACAAGAAATAAATAATATACAAATTATAACTTTCAATGTTCCACTAGATCGACTTGCAGCTGACCCCCCACTAGATACTCTTGCTTCACATCCCTCCCTCGTTCGACATGGAGCAGATCCGCTCTTCGAACTACTTTGTGCAGACCCCCCCCCCTTCGATCCACTAGATGCAGACCCCCTTCGATCCACTTCCTGCAGATCCCCACTTGTTCGACTTGCCGGGATTCCCCATTGATGACCCCTCCATCGACTGCTGGCGCTCGACGCCACTCATCGACTTGCTGGCGATCGACCCGACTCGATCGACTTGCTGGGTCGATTCCCTACGTCGCTTGCTGGTCGATCGCCACTTGAGCTGCTGGTCGATCCCCACTCGATCGACTTGCTGGGTCGATCCCACTCGTCGACTTGTGGTCGATCCCCACTCCGATGACTTCTGGGTCGATCCCACTCGATCGACTTGCTGGTGTCGATTCCCCCACTCGATCGACTTGGCTGGGTCGATCCCCACTCGATCGACTTGCTGGTCGATCCCCCACTCGATCGACTTGCTGGGTCGATCCCCATCGATCGCCTTGCTGGGTCGATCCCCCTACTCGAATCGACTTGCTGGGTCGATCCCCCACTCGATCGACTTGCTTGGGTCGATCCCCACTCGATCGACTTGCTGGGTCGATCCCACGTGATCGACTGCTGGGTCGATCCCCTCATCGACTTGCTGGGTCGATCCCACTCGATCGACTTTGCTGGGTCGATCCCCCACTCGATCGACTTGCTGGGTCGATCCCACTCGATCGACTTGCTTGGGTGATCCCCATCGAGTCGACTTGCTTGGGTCGATCCCACTTCGATCGGACTTGCTGGGTCGATCCCCACTTCGATCGACTTGCTGGGTCGATCCCGCACTTCGATCGACTTGCTGGTCGATCCGCCACTCATCGGCTTGCTGGGTCGATCCCCCACTGATCGACTTGCTGGGCTCGATCCCCATTGATGCGACTTGCTGGGTCGATCCCGCCACTTCGATCGACTTGCTGGGTCGATCCCACTTGATCGACTTGCTGGGTCGATCCGCACTTGATCGACTTGCTGGGTCGATCCCCCACTTGATCGACTTGCTGGGTCGATCCACACTTGATCGACTTGCTGGGTCGATCCCCACTTGATGACTTGCTGGTCGTCCCCACTTGATCGACTTGCTGGGTCGATCCCCACTTGATCGACTTGCTGGGTCGATCCCCACTTGGATACGACTTGCTGGGTCGATTCCCACTTGATCGACTTGCTGGGTCGATCCCCATTGTAGGCTTGCTGGGTCGATCCCCCACTGGATCGACTTGCTGGGCGATCCGCCCACTGATCGACTTGCTGGGTCGATCCCACTTGATCGACTTGGCTGGTCGATCCCCACTTGCATCGACTTGCTGGGTCGATCCCCTTGATCGACTTGCTGGGTCGATCCCACTTGATCGACTTGCTGGGTCGATCCCACTTGATCGATTGCTGGGTCGATCCCCACTTCGATCGACTTGTCTGGTCGATCCCGCATTGATCGCTTGCTGGGTCGACCCCCCGATTCATGACTTGGCTGGGTCGATCCCCACTGTATGACTTGCTGGGGTCGATCCCCACTTGGGATCGACTTGCTGGGTCGATCCCACTTGATCGACTTGCTGGGGTCGATCCCCCCTAGATCGACTTGGCTGGGTCGATCCCCACTTCAATCGACTTGCTGGGTCGATCCCCCTTCATCGACTTGCTGGTCGATCCCCCACTTCATGACTTGCTGGGTCGATCCCCACTCATCGACTTGCTGGGTCGATCCCCCATTCCATCGACTTGCTGGTCGATCCCCCTTCATCGCGCTTGCTGGGTCGATCCCCACTTCATGACTTGCTGGGTCGATCCCACTTGCATTCGACTTGCTGGGTCGATCCGCACTTCATCGACTTGCTGGGTCGATCTCCCACTTCAAGTCGACTTGCTGGGTCGATCCCCACTTCACATCGACTTGCTTGGTCGATCCCCTTCATCGACTTGCTGGGTCGATCTCCCCACTTCGTCGACTTGCTGGGTCGATCCCTCAATTCATCGGATCTGCTTGGTCGATCCCCCAATTCATCGACTTGCTGGGTGATCCCCACTTCATCGACTTGCTGGGTCGATCCCCACTTCATCGACTGCTGGGTCGATCCCCACTTCATCGACTTTTGCTGGGTCGATCCCCACTTCACTCGACTTGCTGGGTATCCCTCTAGACTTGCTGGACCCCTTCATCGACTTGCTGGTCGATCCCCACTTGCATCGAACTTGCTGGGTCGATACCGCCACTTCATCGATCTTGCTTGGGTCGATCCCATTCATCGACTTTGCTGGGTAGATCCCACTTCATCGACTTGCTGGGTCGATCCGCCACTTCATCGACTTGCGCTGGGTCGACTCCCATCTCATCACTTCCGTATCGCACTTATCGACTGGGTTGATCCCACTTCATGACTGTTGCTGGGTCGATCCCCCTTCATGCGCACTTGCTGGGTCGATCCCCACTTCATCGACGTTGCTGGGTGATCCCCACTTCATGAAGCTTTGGCTGGGTTCGACCGCACTTCATCGGACTTGCTGGCGGTCACTCCCACTTATCGACTTGCTGGGTGATCCCACTTGATCGACTTGCTGGTCGATCCGCCACTTGAGTGCCTTGCTTGGGTCGATCTCCCACTTGAATCGCTTGTGGGTCGATCCCGTCACTGTGAATCGACTTGCTGGGTCGATCCCGCTATTGATGAGCGCTTTTGCTGGGTCGATCCCCCACTTGATCGGAATTTGAATGGGTCGATCTCTCACTTGATCGATTGGTGGGTTGATCTTCCACTTATGGATTATGGTTGGCTTAACAAGTATCAGTTTGCTTACTAGGAAGACCACCGCCCCATCCCGAGCAATAACATGCACAACACTTACGGAACTAATGATCCTTGCAGTTGACGCGCCCGGAATCAGTATTTAATCATTAAAAAACTAGAAAGAATGCTAATTGTTGAAAAAGTTTACTTACTGGTACGATTTTTATGCGCATTTGCGCAGAACCGAGAACACGCACTAGTTTCGTAAAAGCCACATGGATGAACGGATTGGCCCCACATCCTCCGAGCCTTTTACACAAAATCGAAATGCAGTTTTCTTCAACAATACAAAATCATGAAGGAAGTAAATTGCTGTAGATACTATATTGTGCGAAATATTATTTTTAAAGAAACTGAACAATCAAAGATTTTTGAACAGAAATATATAGTTGTTTTTGTCCATTTGCTATTGGATTATAAAAGGTTAAAGGAAGTAAATTGTTTTTAATGTTTTAAAAATAAATTGAAGAATGAAAATCAATTTATGGGTCATCATTTGAGATTTTATAGGCAAGATTAACAATTTCCTTGTAATGTCACTTGCACCAGCGTGCTTAAGGGTGAGGTTAATTTTTGCTTAATGCCAGATCTCTCTCCCAGTCCAACTCTTTGAGATGGTAGAAACAACAGCAGCACATGCTGCTCTTACCAGGCAGCAAGAACAAGAGCTGCACAAACCCACAATTCTACTTGTCTCATGTACCAATAACAGGGGGATTAAGGGGTTTAAAAAAAAAAAAAATCTTTCCAATGCTTACGAGCAGCTGAAATGGTACCTCTCACCATTCCCTTGTTAGTACCGATCCTATTGTACCCTACTAAAAGTGATACAATACTTTATTATCGAAGGAATGATCCTTAAATACCCAGCACATGTAAAAGTACTTATTACTTACCAATATGTGTCCTGGTTGCAACGAAGAAGATCGGTTGCCATGTGTTCCACTCTGACAAACCATGATGGCACAGCTTTGTAAATCAGAGGTGTATCTGAACGCCAACAAAAGGGGTAACTGTGTTTCACTGTACTAGCATTAACCAGCCGACCGGATTCCTTCAACCATTTTATTATATTTTTATCAGCATCCTGGAAACAACACAAGACAGGAATATACGAAATGCCCAGCAAGATGTCCAGTCAGAAGTAACAAAATGAGAAAATATACCTTCACATGTTGGCCTTGAAAATCAACAACTGGGAAAGTGAATCGTCCACTATTATCAACAGGGCAAATAACTTCTTGATCACGAGTGATAATGCCAGCAGCCAAACACACTCTGTGATCATCTTCACCAAAATAAGGAGCTTGATGTACAATACCAGTTCCTGACTCTGCAGTAACATAGTTGTCATTAAGAACTTGAAACGCACCTTTAGAAGACATCTACAATGATGAACATGATACCAATGAATAATATTTAACAATCTTTTACATTAACTGGCAAAACAATACATTGTAGAAGTTATACATACTTGTTGAAAATATGGGAAAAGAGGTTTATATCTTTTCCCTTTGAGAGTTTCCCCTTTAAAGCGTTTTAATATTTTGTACTGATCTTCAGTTTTATATAATGCACTAATGCGATCTTCCATTAAAATATACTTCTTATTGGTGGATAAATCTGTAACAAACCCACCAATTTAATATTAAAAAATTTAAACATTTATACATATAAAATTCGGAGACTTAACACTGCCACAAACATTAGTTTAAAAACTAATTATTAATTAAAATTTATTCAAAACATTAATTCACAAGTAAAAATATTTTTTGTTCTGATACATTCATAACAAATTAAAAAAATATTAATAAGGCAGTTTATAAGAACATTGGCTAGCTAATTCAGGATTAGGACAGATTGAATCATTACCAATAACGAAGGCAATAACTTTAAAGGTAAGATTTAACAGTCCGATCAACCTATATTTCCTGCAAATCAAATACCATTCTCCCAGACACTGCATCTGTGATACCTCAGTAGAATTGGTTGGCTCTTTCTTCATTGCACTTTAGTTAAAAGAATTGTTTCCTTAAAATTTCCACTGTGCTTACTAATAAGTTCTATATAAATACTATCAGATCCTGCAAATTTATATTTTTTTGAAGTTTTTTTGTTGTTGTTGTCATATCTCCACTACAACTTATCTGAACAATTTCCAGTTCAAAGGTCTTATCTTCCTTTCCAATGTCTTGGCAAGCGAATTTTTGTTTAGATTGCAAACTTTCTTCGCTTATTTGTGTTTACTTTAACTCAGCAATTCACATTATTATAATTTGGAAAATCTTGGTTTGCTGTTCTAAATAGTACTTATTTATCCATTATCTTAACTTTTGAGTCAATACCATGGTTTTTGTTTGATGGGTCATATTTAGGGGTTTTTAGTCAAAAATCCTCATTATTTATTTTTATTCACCTCACTTTACTCCTTGCTTCACCTCTACACTCATTACATATACCACATAGTGAACTCTAACAACCTTACTAAAAATCATTTTATTCCAGGTATAAGCAAGCGAAAACTGCTACCAATAAACATGGAATAACTGAAGAGAATAAGTGAGGTGTGGTTACCAAGGCAACCGCTAAACCTACGAGACGTAGTTTAAACGTGGAATAAGCTGGAAATATGAAAATAGAGGAAAACACATTCCAGCTGTTCAGGCACTTTGCTTCATCACATTATTTTCATTTCTAATTCAGCATGGATAGAGCTACAGTTTGGTGTTAAAACAATGACATTTCCTCTAGTGGTCTTGATATTGAGAGAGCTCGAATATTGTAAGTTTTGTTAGAGTGGCATCAGTCAGAGACTTCAGAGCAAGTGCCTTCAATGAGACAATTTTACGTGGAGGAAACAGTGATTAACTACTTTTACTGCTAGTAATAGCACATGTTCAATAAGAAGCAGCAGTTTGGGGAGCCCTTATGAGGAATAATTAAAATTAAATATATGATAATTAAATTTATATTTTTTGAACGTACTAATGTTAAATAAAAGTTATACCTGTGTAACACTTTTGATAATAATAGATTAGTTTTTATTTTATAAATATGCCGCAGAATTGCACCAATAGAACATGCCTAATACTTCAGTATGCTCAAAAACAACAGAAAATTTGATTTTATTGAGTAATTTGAAAAAAGTTTATATTTTAAAATGCATTTCCATGCAGCTAGTTTCTTATGTGTTAATGTTACGAATCTGGATGTGTCTGTTAATGTTAGCATTTAGAGGATATCCCTTACTGTATCAGTAATAATCTATACAAAATGAAAATGTTCGTCTTTTGTGTGAGTGTGTGGGATCTCTTGTTTTGTTATGAAAAACTCTGACCCAATGGGTGAATTTTGGTTGTGAATTCTAGTTCAAATTTAGAAATTACCTTCTTCTTTATGTGACTTACATTGTAGCCACGACTCATTTCTGCCTAAGAAATTTTTTTGCTAGTTTAAATCTTGTGAAAACAAAAATAAAGCAAATGTATTGTAAACATTTTAGAGGAGAGTATGTATTTTGCAATGAGTTTTACTTGCTATTTTATTTTTATGAGAAACTCAGAGCTGAAGGGCAAATTCTGATGGCAGACTTAAATTTAGCAGATCAAAATACATAGGGATTTAGTGGTCTAATTGATTACGAAATGTTATGTTCTTTGAATCTCTGAGAAATAATTTTTTATTCATTTCTCATTAAGGTTATCCAATGACGAACTTTTCAGAATTGTGAGAAACATTATTTATTCTTTTCATTCTTTCCTGAGGAATATTTGTATGTATTCATATGAATTCTTTGAAACTACATATACAACTATAAAAATTGGCACTTACCTTGAAGAAGAACATACTGAAGATTTGGATTAACACATAAAGTTAAATTACTTGGTAGAGTCCATGGTGTAGTTGTCCATGCAATAAGTTGCACATCTGGTTCATCAATTAGAGGGAAGCCAACCATGACTACAACACACAATAAGAAAATTAAGGCATTGTTTGTTCAGTATCTCATTCTGAAATTACACATCTAACTTTTTTAATAGTTTATTACATTATATTTCATGCCTGCATTGGCATTAACAATTATAATTTAAAAAATGTTGAAGTCACGAGTTAAAATGAATTTGTTAAAATTAAAACACTATGTACAAAATTAATTTACAATTGGCTGGTGATAGTGTAGGTGAGGTAAAATCTCAATTCAGGACAACAGAAATATATTACTACTAAATGAAGTTTATTTTTGCAAGGCTAAATTTACCCTGCAACTAGTGAAAAAACATTGAAGTCATTTAATAATTATTCTATTGCATAGCTGAATATAAAATATACAATAACTTTTCAGGGAGATGGATGTCACTAGGGGTAACAAATGATACAATACATGCTTTACAAATGTGTTTAGAACCTCATTATATCTGTCTCAACAATTTTGTTAATACTTCAGATTTTTAGAATTTAAAAGTAATCACGAATTCTGTGCAAGGAATATCTTTAAAATAGCACAGAATCATTCAGAATTCCAATATCTAACAACAAACATGCTCACTAAGAATTAAAATATAGGTTGAAAGGGGGAAGGAAAGAGGAAAAAAAGGGGGGGGGGGGAGAAAAGAAAAAGTCCAAGGTAAAATAAATTCAGTACATTGAAAGATATAAATTATACAATAACTTTTCAGGGAGATGAAAGTCACTGGTGGTGACATAAATAATACAATATATGTTTTACAAATATGTTTGGAAATTAAACAAACTGGGTTGGAAAAAGGAGAAAAAAGTGTTCTCCGATGTAACAATGGCTCAGCATCACGAAATATAAATTTCAATTACTTTGAAGTCAAGAATTAAGGACATTTGTTTAAATATTTAAAATGTAGCAGGACATTTGCTGAAATTGAGTATTATCCTGCCCGTTAACAACAAATGTCAACCCTAGATGTATATGTGAGTGAATGAGAATTTGCATGTCAACTGCTTTGGTTATTAGTCCCAAGAGTGTATCTTGCAGTTGGGAGGTGGTTATGTTCTTCTCCTTCTGAAACAAGAGATCCACAGCCGACCTACAGAGTGGGGTTTCCTTCTCCAGTTTCTCTGCCAATGGGGCACCTTTCCAATCACTCTCAACTGTAGACTCCCTCTATACAAATGTGTATGTATGAATGTGTGGTGTGGTGTGGTGTGGTGTGAGTGGTGGGTGCATATTATGTGTGCGTTTAGCGTGTGTGTGCTGTGTTGTGCGTTTAGCATGTGTGTATGGTGTGGTGTGTGTTGTGTAGTGCGCTTAGCGCGCGTGTGTGTAGCGCGCTTAGCGCGCGTGTGTAGCGCGCTTAGCGCGCGTGTGTAGCGCGCGTGTGTAGTGCGCTTAGCGCGCCTGTGTAGTGCGCTTAGCGCGCCTGTGTAGTGTGCTTAGCGCGCGTGTGTAGTGTGCCTAAACGCGCGTGTTTAGTGTGCTTAGCGCGCGTGTGTAGTGTGCCTAAACGCGCGTGTTTAGTGTGCTTAGCGCGCGCGTGTGTGGTGTTTTGTGTGTGTGTGTGTGTGTGTGGTGTTTTGTGTGTGTGTGTGTGGTGTGTGGTGTTTTGTGTGTGTGTGGTGTTTTGTGTGTGTGTGTGGTGTTTTGTGTGTGTGTGTGGTGTTTTGTGTGTGTGTATGGTGTGTTTAGTGTATGATGATAGGGAAAAAAGATGAGAACGAGGTTAGTGTCATTTGGTGGGGGACCGCTAGCATAGCATTCATCTAGTATTGATGGGATAAACCAAGAAAAACTACGGACCAAATCAGCCCGCCCCTAAAATATATGAGACTAACTGATTTTGACCAAGCCACATCATTAGTGCCAAAATTTGCCCTAAGAGACCTCTTGGTGAATTCTTGATGTTCCAGTGGCAACACTTGTTTTCTTTAGTCATCTTGGGCAGGGTTTGATGAGTGAGACAGAGGGTGCTGACCGTGGGCGTTGATGCACCAACTCGCCCCTCCCCCACCCTCTTCCTCCAAAGGGGACTTGAATTCAGCAAGCTTCAGCCAGACTTACACCACCTCTGCATTTATGCATATCTTACACAAATTACTAGTGAACAAATGCAATGAGAGCTGTAAGCCTGTAACCTTTTCAAAACATTTTCAACGTGGTAAGTTTGACATAATTAACTGCAAAATTTAAAACTGATATTTGACCCCCAGGGCAACATACCCCATTCTGAAAGTATTAGAAACTGACCAAGGATTCAAATTTGTCCAGAACTTTTTAATGTCACCACAGGTTGAGAGAGGGCTCCCCTTCGGATAACATAGTTCAATATCATCAATTTCAAGTATCAATATCACTCTTCACTTCGACCTCATTTTGAAATTACACATTCATGAAAGACAAATTTGTATCTTTCATGTGTTCCTTTAGATTTACCTTTGCAAGAGTTGATTTTGATTTGATCAACATTAAACTAACTTTTGTGAAGCATTATTTTCTAAAACTAAGGCCGTGACAGTTGATTTAAATGACATATTTAAGCAAATCCGAACAGAAGTATTGAGAAAAGTAACAACTGTAACACAAAAATAACAAATATTCCACTTAGTTTTAATGGGAGAGGATTAATATATACAGAGAGAGAGAGAGAGAGAGAGAGGAGAGAGAGAGGGGAGAGAGAGAGATAAAAAAAAAACACACACACACACACAAACAAACACGAGAATTGAAAAAAACATAAAAGAAAACACATTCATATTAACTTGTGTTTTGAAGCAGAGCTTTGATGACCATTTTTACCAGGGTTATGCCACAAATTAATCACGTTAAAGACAAATTTGTTTATTGTAATAAAACAGTTATTAACATGGTATAGAGTTTGTGGTGTGCACATGTTTTTCATATGCGTTTAGGAGATCATGAGAGATATGACAAAAAAAAAAGTTTGTAACACGTCATTTGTATATTGAAAAAATCAACAGTTCCAGTGGTGAATTAAAGTGATTCAAGCAATCAATAATTTAAGAACGGACATGGATACAAAATTAGAGGTTTTGACAGAGAATTTTTAGGTTTTAGCTGAGAGAAATTCTTCCTTATTGATATAATTTGGGAAGAAACTACCAAAGGACGAGGAGAAAATTGACAAGATTATTGCCTCAACGACTGCTCTAGAGGCAAGGATCTTAATTGTTGAGCGTGGGATGGCTTGTCTGATGCTTTATTAAAAGAGGTATCTCAACAGGAGATTCCTTGGGACAATGTTTGTAAATTTAATATAATGTAAATTTTGGTATGCACGATGCACACAACATTGATACAGGCACCTCAGAAAAAAGATGAAGATCTAGGAGCAAAATTGTTTCAAGTTTTGAAATTCATATTCATTTGTCATCAGAGTTCATCAACATCATACACAATTACCAAGTGTGTTGTTAAATCTCCTAAGCCGTATCCACTTAAGTCGGTGTTCGCCCAATAGAAAATGTCCCTTTTTCTGGAGAGATTCTGGGAATATTGCAAGGATACTCAATTCTGTTAGATGTTGTAAAATGAGTGCTACTTGAGACTGTACTCGGGTTCAGATGGCTCAATATAGAATGTTAAGCTCCAAGTTGTATTGAAACTGCTGGAACACTGTATCTCTCTAAATATCTGATATGTAAAGGAAATATTCAGGAAAATACTACAATCATAGATCCTTAGTTTTAAAAAATTATGGTTTAAGGAATGCCCGAGGTTATGTTTGTTTTCAGCTCTACAGAAATAGTTGTATTGGACATGCTTGCTTTTAAGCAATGTTCGTAATCTGGAAAGAATTTACTGTTTTATTGCATATATCACTCAAATAGAGCAGAGCATATAAGATACAAGGTGAATTTGAAAACATTTGAAAGAAACTGAAATACAATTTTAGACGCTTTGAAGGGAACTGCTAGACTGTATACTGTGCAGTTCAATGAAAATTATGATTGAACAACTCATGTTATAGTTAGACATTGATACAGTACTCTACCTAAATAAGCAAGAATTAACGTTTTATGGTCATGTTGAACAAACAGACTATAAATCTTGTGGATTTTAAGGACCTGTTGATGTTGCTGGTATCAAGGAGTCCTGAAAAAATTCATAATCAGTATTGTAAAATAAAAAAATGTTTTTGTGATTCATAAAAAATATTTAAAAATGAATTTATTGATTGCAGTTCAGAATATACCAGTGATTTTGAAGAAACAGAATCAGTTCAGGTAGATGATGCAATGGAACAAAATGGTACAAAAAATGGGAAAGTTGAAATATTTAGAAAAAACTTACAAAACTCTATTTAATCCTGAAAACGTGTGAAAATTGAGTTAGCAATCACTCTAAAAAGTACATCCATTAGGTGCTGTCCATTTCACCATACACATTCAGTAAGTTGATTCTGAAGATTTTGCCCAGCCTGGTGCAATGTGTTCTCTGGTATGTTGGTGATGTTTTCTTCAATCTGAGTCTTGAGTAGGTTAAGGTTTTTTGATTAGTCTGGTAAACAATGTTCTTCAGGTGTCATCATAACAAGTAGTCACCAATTGAGAGGTCTGGAGAAAAGGGCTTCATGTAACATCCAAAGACTATCAATGACGTTAGCTTTCTCATTGATTTTAGCCAACAATTGTTCACAAAATTGTGAGCGCAGAATCATTAGGTTTCAGTTCTTGAACAATCATAAGCTTGTAAGGATGAGATTGAATGTGGTGGAATGTATTTTGCCCACTCCGACGTCCAAGCCTTAATGACGAGGCACCGACCGACGAGACTCACCACTGCAGTTTGCGTAGCATCAACGTTTACCCGCCCATAGGGCCTTTTTTTTTCTTCAAAACCGAACCTGTCTTTTCAAAGTTACGAACCAACGTTTTGATAGCGTGAGAAGAAGGAACTTGACCACGGTGGCGCCGAAACACTTCGTACAGCTGCCACACCGTCACCAAGTCGATAATTCGACCCGACAGCGACC